CCCCCCCCCCCCAACACCACCACCACACATCCCAGCCCTGCTTCCCCTCAGCTTTTTAGCCATATCTTGGTAGTTTTCAAAAGCTCACACCTCCAAGTCAGGCAGCTTAAAGCCCCTTAATAAATGGCTCTGTGGTCCCAGTCGGGCCGAGGAGCCGAAGGGCCCCCTTCACCTGGCATCTGGCAAGCGGATTACTCTGCTCTTCAGTGGCCATCCTTGCAGAATTCAAAGCTCCTCCAACAAGTGGACTGGGGAGGAGATTGGGGAGGGAGTAGCTGAGAGGAAGAGGACGCGCGCCAGCTCCTCACCTTCCCACCCTTCTGGCATCTTGATGGGCACAGGGAGGAACACTGAAGGAAGACTTCAGAGATTCCTCAACCTGGGGGTGGGGGAGGCTCAGCTGTTGATGAGCTCTGAACAGAGTGGGAGGCGATGATCAATTCGGTACTGAGCTAGAACTCATCTCTCCCGGGAGAGGTCTAAGCTTCTCAGGGTAGCATGTAGTTCAAGAGCAAGCCTGGCTCCCGTTTTCAAAATCAGAGGGGGAAAAAAATGAGAAAATGGACCTAGTTAATTAAGGCACGGGGCTGGGTACACATCTTCCATTGCTCCATTAAGCCAGTTGAAAACACCAAATGGGCATTTATATTTGGTCCCAAGAATAGGGAAAGCAGGCAATTCCCAGAAAGCCACTTGCCTAAACTTGTCCTGAGGGAATGCAAGTGGACCCATCTTCTTTTTAATTAGTGGTAATCAGAAGCGAAGGTTTTTTGAAGGCACTTGACAGGAGGTGAATCTGTACCATTCACGGCATCTGAATAGCACTCTCAATTTTTCCACTTTAAGTTACCCTCCCGTCTCACCAGTTTTGCTCTCTATTTAATTACAATACTGTCAAAGCTCAAAGCTCATGGCATTGCTTGGAAGGAGGACCAGAAAGCATTACACCCATGCTCCTGTTGATTTTCCAACATTTACTTCTAAAAGAACACTTAGTGAAATTAATGCTGCCATCTTAATTTAAAAATAAAAGCCCTCTCCCTTCCTATATTTCTTTTACTTGGCTGATTGAGGATGCCAGCAGAGTGGACATAGGTTGCATTATCGGAATAACCAAATGTCATTTTGCTCCATCATTTTAGATTAATGATACCACTGGGGTAAACATACACACACTCAGCTCTGAACTGCACTGGGATCTTTTGCACTTTTAGATGCAGAGTTGAGGGAATCACAATGGAGCTAAACTTTGTACAAAAAAACCTCACCCACTGATTTACCCGCATTGAAGAGAGCAACATTTTCTACTAATATCTATAAAGAAAACGGTTTAGGACACAAATTTAACTAGAATGCAATTCTTCGTAAAAGTGAGCGGTTCTCTAATATCAACGGTGTGCGTGTGGGTTTTTTTTTTTTTTTTTAATTACTGGATGTTGAAACAGAACACCTCCTAGAAGCATTCATGTGCATCAGTCTATCAAACCATTTACTCAAATTAAATGTGTAATCCTTCAAATGCCTCCTTTCAAATTAATGAGTTTAAGTAGCTTGAGTTCACCTGAAAAGATCCTATAGGCACCTGACCTCCTGAATTCTTTCCATTAATTGCACTGAAACTTGTTGGAAAAGACTGCTTACATGGGTATATGAATGTTCCTATACATTGCTTTAAAATGCAAGATTAGTATAATTCTATAGCCTCTTTTCCTAAATCTCTTTTGGGGATCAAAGGTAGTGATACAAACGACAACAACAACAAACCCCAAATCTGCACATTCCTCAATTGAAAAACCTGCAAATTCTACATAGCAAACCACACACTAACATTGAGCACTACAAGCCTTCAAGTAATAGTACACAAAGAGAAACACTACCATTAAAGGTTTTGGGGTTTTTTGGGGGGGGGCGGGGAGAGGTAGAGTTTGCTCTAAGAAGAATTACAAGTCTTTAAACTGATGGGTAATCAGCATTTTTCACAAGGAGCACAAAGAATGAGTCACAGTTTTCCACTCAAAAAAGTTTTAAAGTGCTTACGTAAATATAATTAGCCATCACCATAGGCAAATCATTTCTAGCTAACTACACTTATTTGTAAGTCAATCTTTTGTCTCTGAGTTTCTATGTAGGTCCCTACCTTGCTTTAAGGTAGCAGCCTAACTCCCACTTTTCAACTGAGGATCCAGTTGGGGCAGACGACTTAAAATTTTGGTCAGGAGTACCCAACCTTTGCACACCTAAAGGCCCAGTCCCACCAGATGGACAGAGTCTTAGTATAGTTTTTGCCGTTAATTTATTATAAAAAAAATGGAAGATTAACACGTTCGCCTTGAAACCCTTAAATCCGGCCAATCAGAAGGTTTTTGTGGTGGAGGCTACAATATATTCTCATAGGTGTCCAGTTCCTCTCCTTAAAACCCTTGGTAACCTTTGGCCTTGCCATTGCTCTGCTCACCCATCTCGAGGAAAGGCAGCCAAGTCTTACCTAATGTAGTCATTTCTGCAAAGGATCATGCCGCTCTTGGTATAACAGGACGTGCCGATGTCGCCCAGCTGCGCCTGGCAGCAGGAGCACTTGAGGCACCGGCTGTGCCAGTAGCTGTCCATGGCATAGAGCAGAAAGCGGTCCGCAATCTTGCCCCCGCAGCCTGCGCACCGCTTCCAGGAGAGGGAGCCGGCCGTCACCGGGGGCGGCTGTGAGCTGCTGCCCGGATTCACCATGGTCTGCAGAGGGCGGGAAGGGGACCGGGAGAGAAAGACAAAACCGGGGCAATGCAAAAGTTAGTAATCGCCGCGCGCGAGAGAGCCAGAACACGTCCCCCCCCCCACCCCCCCCCAACTCCCCGAACTGTTGGAAGGAAGCAGCGGGGCAACCGCGCGAAAGAGGGTGAGGGGGAGAGGAAAGGAGGGAGGATCGCCGGCAGCAGCCGCCTGTTTACTTTTCTCAAGCTTTGTTCTGGGGCCACGAGCTCCTCTCAACTTTCCAGCGCTCGCCGCCGCTGACAATTTCAGCTTGGGTACTGTCAAAACTCGGAGAGCGAGGCTCGGAGGCGCGCTCCACCCCTCGCGGCGCCTCCTCCCAGCCCCCGCCTCCGCCCACTGCCCCCTCCTCCCTCCTTCGCCGCCCGCCTCCAGCAAATGAGGGTCAAACCCACCCACCGCCGCGCCCGGCCCCTCCCCGGCCCCAGCCGAGCCGGGAGAGCTAGCCGAGGGGAGTGGGGAGGCGGCCCCCGCCGGAGCCACGTTCTCTCCCGAGCTCTGCCCTGGGAAGTGCAGCTGCAGTTCACAAGTTGGAAATAGTTGGGTTTTCTGAAAGGGAGGGAGGGAGGGACCGGCAGAGGGGAGAGGGAGAGCGTGATGGTGGGAGGGGAGCGAGGGGACGCGAGGGAGGGGGGGCGGTGTGTAAAGTTGCGAAACTGGTTTTTCGTATTTTAAACAGCACCTTTCACATGCCATTGTGGTGACCGCCATCTCCCATTATTGTTCCAAATCTCATTTCATTTTGAAGATCAATGAGTGTTTTCTCTGGGTTTTCAGGACACAGGCAAGAATAATAGATCATTGAACTTTAGGATGCCTGTTAACTTCCTATACAAACACTCTCCACTTTGGTCTCACTAATCTGCCCTTGATCAGCAATTTAAATGCTAAAGCTTTGTTCCTCCAAAGGGGGGACGGGGGGCGTTACAGATAATATGCGGGAAGGCACTATCAAAGGATGCACAAGTTATATAGGAGCCAGTCCTGCTGTCACCAAAAACTGCTTTTAAAAATTCCCTACTCTTTCTAATGAATGTCACGAGAAGCAACTGGGGTATAATATAGGAATCAATTTATAAAGCTTAGCCTAAACCGATTAATTTGTTGCCTCCAATCCTGAGTCCAATAAAGTCCTAGTGTTCCTCCAGTCACTTATTCTATAAAAAGATCAAGTTATTTACTGCCAATTAAGCAGCCTGTTTTGTCTTTGTCCTCTGTAAGCCGAGAGTGTAGGCTCCCCCCGAGGCTCCCGGCTATCTGCTCAAGACGTTCAGCTGATACCTCAGAAGGGAGAGGGCGAACTTTGCCTGTCCCCGGCCCAACTTGGCTGCTGCAAAAAAACCAGGGGAAGGGAACGAAACAAGGACTCGGGTTCCTTAAATAGGCCGATTTTAAACACATTTCCTCCGAAAGAGTCCCGGAACGTGTGTCCAGTGACCGCACAATAAACCAGAATAAGAACTGCACCAATTAAGCTGTAACAAAACCCTGAGACTTTGGAAACAGGACCACTCTAAAACCCATTAGCATTGCATTTATCCGAATGCATCATACCTTTATGTAAATTGATTTATCTGATGCATTTACTCGAGGAATTGCTTTTTGTTACAATTTCAGCCCTAACCCAAATGAATCTGCATTTCCTGCCCGAGGTCTTTAAACTGTTTCCCCCAACGTTTTAATCGCTCCGAATTCCTTTTTAAAAGGGGAGAGGGAGGGAGGAGATTCCAAGCTCTTCCCCGCCCCCATCTTTGGTGAGAGGTAAATATATATGTATATTTTTTTGAAAAGGAAACATTACACTGAGAAAAGCATCCAGTAACCCCATTAGCTAAAGCTCTTAAGGACAAGCAATACCTTAATGCTGATTAAATCTAAAAGAGATGAATCAAGAGGACTGACCAGAAACTGACTCCCCTGATAACTAAGGACGGGCCCTCATCAAGTTTCATTTAGAGTTGGAAAAAAAAGAAAGCTTTTAAGTTAAATAGGCTTATACTCTAGTAATTACATAGCCAAGCAATTTAGGTCCTGGGATAGTCAGTGAAATAGAAAGCAGAACTGGCAGCTAGAGGCAAAATCTGCCCCCCTTTAACAACGTCTCTGGTGTTTTTTAATGGAGACCAGGGGAGGGACAAACGTAGCGCTGGCAATTTGTAGTACAAAAATGGATGCTTAATTCATGTCTTGATTTTAATTAGGTGATTCACCGGATTTCTCCTGGATTGGAACAAAAGACTTATAAGCCAAGAGGAATTTTTGAAAAGAACCAGCAATACTGAATCCTGCTCACTTAGACCCTTTCTGCCACTGTTTCAAAAATAGTGTTTACTGGGGGGGTGGGG